CGTATATGGAAGTCGATGTGCCGCAGCTGTTGAGTCATCTGCAAGATCTCTCTCTTGACCCTTTCCATGGTTCATCAGTTACTTCTTTTGGAGCTGCTAGGAAATTTTTTCTCCGTTTCCGTTCACTTAATTACCAGAAAAGCTTGTCTGTGCATTCCTCTGATGCTACTGTCGAAAATGCCAGAGACACAAAACCCTCAAAACCTGTCAAGACTGTGAAGAGAACTGAAGACCCATCAAAAGCTGGAAAAAAACGTCTCTCTTCTGATCGTCAAGATGACATCCCATCAGCTAAGAAGCTGAAGAAAACTAATCAGTTGAAATCAATGACTTCTGAGAAGAAGATCAGCCGAGAAGCAAAGGATAGTATAAAACCAGTAAGAGAGCAAAGCAGTGCGGTACAAGCAAAAGCAGCCAGAGCTCAAACCGGGAAGAAAACGGCTCCATCAGTTAAGGTGGTTGAGCCCACAATGCTGGTCATGAAATTCCCACCTGGCACGTCTCTCCCTTCAGCTGCATTACTAAAGGCGAGATTTGGTCGCTTCGGGCTGTTAGATCAATCCGCCATTAGAGTTTTCTGGAAATCATCGACCTGCCGTGTTGTGTTTCTGTACAAAGCCGATGCACAGACTGCTTTTCGATATGCAACAGGAAACAACACTCTATTTGGAAATGTGAACGTAAAGTACTTTCTCCGTGATGTGGATGCTCCTAAAGCCGAGCCTCGTGAACCAGAAAACACAAAGGAAGATGATGAACCACAGAGTCAGTGGCTAGACCAAGCACCACCACTTCACCAACCAACCTTACCACCACCAAACGTCAACCTCAAATCCTGCTTGAAGAAACCAGTTGATGACCCGAGCAGTAGTAGCAACAACGGAAACGGTAACCGCGCAACTGTAAGAGTCAAATTCATGTTAGGTGGTGAAGAAAACTCGAGTAAAGCAACCACCGAGCCACCACCAGTCACAACAATCTCGAATAGAAACAGTGGACCTTCTTCATCATCATCATCATCTGTTGCAATGGAATTTGTTAGTAAGAAGTTTCAAAACGTTGTTCATCATCAACAGCTTCCTCCTTCTACATTGCCTCCAATTCTTCCTCTCCCTCCACAATACACAAAACCACAACAACATCCCATTAACCCAATAGACCATGTCGAACCACCGATGCCACCTTCAAGAAACTTCCGTGGCCCGAACCCAGCGGTTTGCGCTGGAGACATCTCTCACCAGATGCTCAACCTTTTGTCAAAATGCAACGAAGTAGTGGCTAATGTCACGGGCTTATTGGGCTACGTACCTTACCATCCCTTGTAACAAAACGAAGCCCGTTGAGAGAAAATTTGAGTGTTTGTTTGGTTTTGGTGATATATTTGTATGTTAGGTATTAGTTTGGTTCGTTAATTTATAATGAATCTCTCTCCCTCTCTCCTTGTTTTATTTTTCGTGTATTGAACTTGTATGTTTTGATATTTGATGCACTATGCCGAACCAATTCCATTGTTGTGTAAGATTATATGGTCTCATTGGTCTTAATCTACTTGGTGGTAAACAAGGCCTGCCCACATAGCTGATCAAAGTTGAAGCCAAACCCACCAAAAAAGAAAAAAAAATTATAAGTAGAAATTTGTAATCACAGTCGGAAAACATAAAATTTTATTTTATTTACATGTTCAAAAAAGGTAATTTTTATTACCTCTCATTATGAAGAGATATAAGACGACGTCGTCATGTGTTGTTCACGAGAAAGAGAGAGAGAGAGAGGAACCAAACGGCGCACAACTTTGGTACCAAATTTGAGTCGAACACATGACCTCATGGCGTTGAGGACTTAACCAGTACAACAACCAACTGGTCAATGTTCGATTTGGTGGAAAGATTTTCTGATGATAATATTTATCCACAAAATTCGTATGGTTTGGTTGTTGTTTTAAATCAATTAACTAAATTTAAACGCTAACTATTTTGCCATCTTTTTAATACCTTTTCACTTGAAAAACTTTTTTAACATTTTTTCTTTTTCAATACACAAATAGAAACACAAACTTCGAAAAGAAAAAAAAAAACAATAGAAAATACCTACTAGTACCAAATTCATCACTCAACACAACTCAAAGAAAAGTAGCGAGTAGCGACAAGCTTTTATATTATTTGCTACCATTAAGATGTTTTTTCTGTCCAAAGTTTAATTAACATCTTGGTGGTTATCTGTCTTACTTAGTTTCTTTATAAAGTGGTCGAGAAAGGAACTAATGAGACCAAAGTAAAGAAGATCAACTACAGCTGAAGACTATCAAGAATTTCAATACATTTGGTTGAATATCGTAAAGTTTGATTTCAAAACTCACCGAGTCGTCGTCTCACATGTCTGGATTAGCCTCCTCAGGAATGACTTCTAGTGTGACCCTTTCTTTATTTGATCTTTCCACAACTACTTGCATCCGCTTTCCGATTCTGTCGTCTATTATCTCTATTATCTGCAATTAAACTTCATTCACACACGAATACTCTAAGAAGATAAAGAGAGTGTGAGAGAGAGACGACACATGCCTCTTTGATGGTCTCGACCGGCTTCCCGTCAAATCTCACAACAACATCACCTGGTTTAAAGCCAGCTCGATCAGCTGGTGATCCCGGAATCACCTGCAAAACAATAATCATACAACTATATATAGTAAATATGCAAAACTTGGATTATTCAGTTTTTAATTGGATCTACTTGATGGATAGATACTCACCGTAGGAACAAGAATGCCTCTTTCGACGTTAGGAAACATCGGGTCTCGTTCTTTTAGCTGAGCAATGATCATTTTATTGAGTTCGATCATTTTTAACCCAATCCATGGCCGAATAACTCTACTGCAACAATAACTATTTTATTTAACTCCTCCCAACCTTTAAGATGTGATACATGATGAAAATATATTGAGATTACTAGCATACCCACTCTTCTTGAAATGCTCGATGATTTTGGATACCGAGTCAATTGGCACGGAAAATCCAAGACCATCTGCAGCTAAAACTTTCATGATATTAACACCAATCACTTCTCCATCCAAATTTACGAGAGGCCCACCAGAGTTTCCCTAACACATAGCACAAGGATATAAAAATCACAAGATCTGCAAGTCAATCTGTAATGACTTTCCAATTAATAGAGAAAGAAAGATGTAAGTTACCGCATTGATCGCACAGTCTGTTTGGAGATATTCTCTACGTGTGCCTCCTAAACCTAAATCACTGCTTTTGCGATCAACACAGCTAGCACCAAGAAAAAGCAAAAAGCGACAACAAAAAAAATCAAACAGTTGTGACTACTATCAGAACTTATCAAATAAAATCTTTAGAATACACATGTGTTTACTTACCTGACAATACCAGCAGTTATTGTGTTCTGGAGAGAAAGAGGACAACCCACAGCTATTACCCAGTCCCCAGGACGAAGCTTACTCGAAAAACCAAGTTTAGCCGTTGGCAATGGCGTCTTTGACTTTATCTTCACTAATGCAATGTCGGATTGTAAATCAGCGTTCACCACCACACCCTCAAACGTTCTACCATCTTGCAACGTCACATCAACCTATAATTCAACAACTCTAAACTTCACATATGTTCTCAACAGATTCCATCAAAATAAATCAGTAGAAGAAATCAGCTACAATCCCAGTTTCCTATAACTCCAACAACTAACCATAAATATATAACGTACTTACTCTCCCTTTAGATGATTGACGAATGTTTTGAAAATCGACTACAACATGAGCGCAAGTCAATATCGTGCCATCAGCATCAATGATGGTTCCAGAACCGATACTTTTTCCCATAGAAATCCCATGGAAACCTAGAAAAAAATCCCAAGATCACCAAACCCCCCCCCCCCCTGTGAATTCTACAACCAAATTCTGCAATGGTAACATAATAAATGGAATCAAAAGATTAAAAAAAAAAATAAGAAAGAAGCTAACCCTGAGGAACCGATAGATTGACAACCGCTGGTCCGACTCTAGCAGCCGCATTGGCTATAGTATCTCTCCCTAAGTAGCCATTACTTGGTTTCGAACTATCCGAAGCTTCAACCGGAACTCCCTTCTCATCATTTACAGCTGCTTCTGATTTTGGACTAACTCTCGAAGAAAACGCGAAATTTCCTATATAAATAAAGAAACAAACTTTTCAAAGTTGCAACTCTAGAGCAAAAATTGCATTAAAACATTCAGATATCAGAAACTTTGCTACAAACCGAACAAGCTTTGATCAGGACGATGAATCAAACCCGGTGAAATCCGCCAAGGCAGCAACAACAGAGATTCCCGAACCGATTCAGGAATAGCAAGCGATATTCTCGTTCCTAGAATACATATCACATTATGATTCACAGCTATAAGATCACATTAACCACAACAACAACAAAGACAAATTTCAATGCATAGTGAAGAAGTTGGTTCTTGGTAATAGTAGCTTACTTGCATCTGGATTACTATTAGCATATACAATTCCAGAAGTAGCGGTAGCAACAGCGACGATACGAATAAGTTCGCTTCGTTTAGAAGATGATGATACAGCTCTTCTCTAACCCAGAAAAAAAAAAAAACAACAAATGAGTCAGTGAAAGTTTAACCAAATTAATCAAAAATCGTTCATTGAACAATCGCAAAGAAGAATTGAACCAGAAAATTCATCATCGTAAATCCAAACAATTTGATTCGATAGGAAAATTCGTAATCGCGTCGTGTTTGCAATTATAAACCCTACCGGAAACCAAAACCCCCTTTCCCAGAATCTCGTAGAGTCACGTACCAAGAACAGAAATTTTAATGGGCCTATGAATTTAGGCCCAAATAAAGCCCAAACTGACCAATCATTTCCTTATGTTAATTACTATCTACTTTAATTAATGTCATTAATGGTACTGAGTACTGACTCTTCATGTATACCAAAACCATTTCAATTATATCACTTAAATCCATCTAAATTGTTTAAATAAGTACGAAATCCAGAAACTAATTTAGACAGATGATGTTTACTAATCCCAGAAATTAGTTATTTTCGATTACAAATTCCGTAAAACACATAATCATCTTCCCATGGTTTTACATAGACAAACCAAAACACAGAGAAGAAGATTTCAGAAAACCTACACAAATCCCCTAAAACAAAAAAAAAAAACAAGATGTTTCTCCTTCTTCTTCCTTCTTCCTTCTTCTAGATCCGAATATAACCAAAAGCACAATCGATATTATTATCAAGCCTTCTTAGGAGATTTGGTAGCAGGTGAAGCTTTCTCAGCAGCTGTAGACTTCTTAGGAAGAAGAACTGGATTAATGTTTGGAAGAACACCTCCACTTGCAATCGTAACTCCATGTAGCAATTTCCCCAATTCTTCATCGTTCCTTATCGCTAAACAAAGATGCCTAGGGTTTATCCTGTTCTTCTTATTATCTCTCGCTGCGTTCCCAGCTAGCTCAAGAACCTAAGCCAAAACCGGTTCAAATTCGTTAGATCTCCAAAATTACACAGATCTATAGATTATTAGATTACACAATAACACAAACCCTAAATCAATTCAAAAATGCAACGAGATCTGAGACTGATTTACCTCAGCGGCGAGGTATTCAAGAACGGCGGCGAGGTAAACCGGAGCACCGGAACCGTATCGGATAGCGTAACGACCTTTCTTCAAGTAACGAGCGATACGACCAACGGGGAATTGAAGACCAGCTTTAACAGATTTCGTAACACTCTTCTTCCTATCTCCTCCTTTTCTTCCTCCGGCACCTCTCGCTGGCTTCGTCGTTGCTTGTGATGACTCCATTTTTCAAAAGCTCCAAAAAAGAAAAATGGATCTAAAGGTAAGCACAATTAGTGTTTTTTGCTTTTTTCGGTTTTGTGGCGGTTTATGATTTGCGTAAAATGTGGAAGCAACGACGTGTATGTATATACCACGTATTGCCACGTTGGCGATCCGTGTAGTAATTGATTTTAACCGTTAAGATTGGCTCTTGTTGGGTTTGATCTGACGGTTGTTAGTGACTTCTTTGTATTACATTACACGTGGGAGTTGTAAAGGGAAAGTGGAAAAGAACACTCGAGTGATATCAGCCGTTAGATTCATTCCCCACACGTTATATAAATGATGTCATGCTTTATCTTATCTTTTTAATTAACCCTAAAAGTTTAATTAATTTGGTTGGCCATTATTTTATTGAGTGAATTTGTGTAGAGGTAAAAATGGGGTATAAAAGTAGGAAATAGACAATAGAAAGACTCATACCAAAAATAAATAAAAAAAAGACAATAGAAAGGTTTGACTCTCACGACGTCCAAAAAACGATTGAAAAGGGTTTTAGTTTGGCGGTTATTACAAAAAACGCAATGCATATTTGTTCAATGCGCGCAAAGGAAAGGAGAAAAATCTGACATTAATAAATGCTCAACACTTGAATTGACCTTTACGCGGCAACAGACAGAAATAAGTGACGATTATTAAATGCGACCGGCTTTAGTTTGAATCTATAACAAAAACGTATATGCAGAAATTACAAATTTTAAACCACTAACTTAATTGCTTAGATATCTATTAATAAATTTGGCTTTATATGGATCGATATATAACTTTATGAAAGTGTATGGACATATAACTAAATTTATAAATAACTATTAATTCCTTAACTAATTAGGACATGTTTAACATATCGTCAATCTACGCTCTTTAGATCTGCATCTACGATTTGTAGATCGATAAGTGGAGGTCCAAAAATTGTGGTAAATCCTTATTTGTATCGTGAATATTGTCTCTTTCGGCAAATAGATGTACCATCTAATTCTCTGGTAAAACGGTGTGAATAGTAAACACGGCGATGTATTTCTAGTTGATTTGAATGAATTCGAACAGAATTGAGAGAGAAAAAGAAAGAGATACGAACATGAGAGAAAAATAAAGATCTAAAAATCACAAATTAAAAATGAAAACAAATCGTCAGGCGCATGAGATTAAAATGGGCAGAAATGGGGGCTAAAATTATCATTGTTTTTGGGATTAGATTCATAATACCGAAAATTTTATTTGATCCAGATCTAATGTCTCTCACCCAATTATCTCTATTTTATTTTATTTGACAGTACATTTTTTTTATTAAAAAAATTGAAAGATATTTCAACTCGATATGTTTATTTTCGATATCGGAGTAGAAAAATTAGTGGATAAGAGTTGTGAACATGTGAAACTTATCATTGAATAAGGAGGTCAAATTCAAATGGGTGACGCTAGGGTTTTGGGGTCGGGCGATCAGGATGCGAGAATGGAGAAGGTGGGTTGTCCGCCGGGAACTACTCCGACGGAAACTACTACTCCGACGGCTATTTCAACATGGGTGGAGAAAGTGCAGAGCAGCAACGGAGGTGGGATGCCGGTGCCGGAGAAGGTGTTGGGTGATGATTTTGTGTCTTCGAGGATGAAGTTGGAGTTCCCGAATGGAGAGGACGGGGAGCCGGTTGTGACGATTGGCCAGGAGGTGTTGACGGCCATGAATGGCTTGTGGAAACAGTGCATGATTGTGAAGGTGCTTGGGAGGCATGTTCCAATAGCGGCGCTGAGTAGGAAGTTGCGTGAACTATGGAAGCCGATGGGAGGGATGTACGTGGTGGATCTACCTAGGCACTTTTTCATGATAAGGTTTGATCAGGAGGATGATTATCTGACGGCAGTGTCGGGAGGGCCGTGACGGGTATTTGGGAGCATTTTAATGGTCCAGGCTTGGTCTCCCGATTTTGATCCTTTATCAGATAAGATTGTGACAACTCCGGTATGGGTGAGGCTTTCAAACCTCCTAGTCAACTTTTATCATAGGGCAATCTTGATGGGTATTGCGGAAGGTTTGGGGAAGCCGATTAAAGTTGATCTCACAACAATGAAGTTGGAGAGAGCTAGATTTGCTCGGGTTTGTGTGGAGGTGAACCTGACGAAGCCATTAAAGGGGTCAGTCAGGATCAATGGGGAGAGGTACTTCGTATCTTATGAGGGTTTGAGTACCATTTTTCCAACATGTGGGGTATACGGTCATCTAGCACCCGAATGCCCCAAGAAAGTTTCGGAGAGAATGGAGCAAATGGCTATTCAAACACCAACTAGTAGTTCGGCGACGGGGGAACAGGCGGAGGATGGGTTCACGTTGGTGCGAAAGTCGAACCGGAAGTCTAATTCGGTTGCCCCGTTAACAAGGTAGTGTTTGCGGCCAAGTCAACCGGGTGGGAACCAGAACAGGAATGGGGATATTAATTAGCAGATTACGGGATCTGGAAATATTGCCTCAGCTAACAGATTCAGCAGATTGATTACGGATTTATCGGAGAAAGAAATGAATGTGGAAATAACTGTGAATGGTGCAAATAAGGAAAACGAGGGTGTGGCTAATGTCCCGAATATTCCAAGGAGTGTGGTGCAAGGAAAGGGAAGTTTTAATTCGGGTAATATTACACGTGGGCCTGGTGGATTTAAAGGAGGAGAATTGGAGAAGAAGAGTAATGGGCCGAGGGTATGGAAGAAGAATCCATATTCGCCAAGGCCAGCTAGGGGGTTAGTGTTTGGGCCTACACGAGAGGATCAAGCATTGGCCTCGTCGGGGAAAAGGCTGCGAGTTGAAACTGGCTCTATGGGTCGTCCAGGAGGCATTTTTACGGCGGGGAGAGAAGACCCGGTGAGGGTGCCGTTGAGTAATAGAACAGAGCAGAATTTTGTGGAGAGAAGTGATTCTGGGAATGGAGGGAATGGGACAACATCAGCCCCGACGACGGACTCGATGGAGGTTGGAGGGAGTCTCGGGGAGGAATGATGGTGCGCCCCGGTGTTTCATTGTGTTCTTTGTGTTTTTAAGATCATCATCATCATG